GACAAATGGAATTGTTAATGAATAGCGTTAAAATTTAGTACAGTTATTCTTTTGGTGCTAGCTTACCTGTCTTCATCTAACAATACCAAGTTAAGTTTTCATATAGTTTAGGTCTGTAGGTTTTTGACTTGCTGAAGAAGAATGGAATTGCATACTAATTTACCCAGAAGAAAGAAGTAAACCAAATATTCATAAAACAAATAAACAAAAATTCACTGGCTCACTGAAAAGCAGGATTTCATATTGTACTTGTTTTTAAAAATGTGCCTCTAATACATGTTTTCAAACCCAAAATTAAAATGTGATTCGTTGTTGAGAATGGGTTAGAAATTCTTACTTGTGAAATAGAAGGAAATTGTTCGTAGTGGATTGGAACGGTGTTGTTTTCCATTAGTGTTTATACATAATTAGGTGTAGACCAATAATATAAGATACCTACATTGGTTTGCAGTCTAACTGTATAGTTTGAAGTAAGTAGCAAAAGAAAATATAATTACCAAATTTTATTATTTTGTAAATAGTATAAAGGAATAAGGAAACTTTAAATATTATTTAGCTAGTAGAGACGGGGTTTCACCGTGTTAGCCAGGATGGTCTGGATCTCCTGACCTTGTGATCCGCCCGTCTCGGCCTCCCAAAGTGCTGAGATTACAGGCTTGAGCCACCGCGCCCGGCCTGTAAGTAAGTTTTAAAAGCCATTATTTTAATTACTAAAAGTTGTCAAGTATGTAGTATTATGTGAGTATTTTAACTGAAAAATTAATCAGGCTTTTAAAAATTACTATTTTATTAGTTGGATTTAAATTCAGATTCTTTATATTTACTTGATTTTCCTAGAAGTTCCAAGTTTTATGAATTTGTAGCTGATAATAGGCATTACTTGTTTACCCCATCTGCACTTTGATGTGGTGTAGATGGTTTTGTGAGTTATTTGAATCATGTAACTCAGAGAATAGTATTTCCTTATACATAAAGTGACCTAACTTTTAATCAGCTCATTTATAGTATGTTGAAAATCACTGTGTGTAATGAGAGGTATTGAGAGTTTCTTGCACATGAGTATAAAGGGTTGAGAACTAGATTAGACAAAGTAGTAAGTCACAGTGCATGGCAACTTTCTGCAGGTTGGAATTACAAGACTTCTTATGTGGAATAGGAGAATTCTATTGGGAAAAAATTATTTTCTCTGACTTTAGGACTCCAGAGACACTTTTCTTAGTCATGACCAGTAATATTTTTCAAAGATTTTGGAAGGAATAAGCTCCTCACTATACCACCAGTTCGTGATTTATTTATTTATGTATTTTAGAGACAGGGCCTCCTTCTGTCACCCAGTTTGGAGTGCAGTGGTGTAATCATAGCTTACTGCAGCCTCAAACTCCTGGGCTCGTGTTCCTCCCGCCTCAGCCTCCCAAGTGGCTAGAACCTCAGCCCCATGCCACCACACTCAGCTAATTTTAAATTTTACTAATTTCATTTAATTTTTGCGGAGATGGGGGTCTCACTGTGTTGTTTAGGCTGGTCCTGAACTCCTGGCCTCAAGCGATCCTTCTGCCTTGGCCTCTCAGGAAATTATATAGAAGAGCACTTCTGTATAATTTATTGTTTCTTCATCACATGTTTTCAACTGTTGCCCTAAATAGGTTTAAAAATGTGATCACGTTATTAGAAAATCCTTTCCATTGAATTTCAGGGATGCTGAATTTCAGGGAGCTAAATTGTTCACCCTTGTATGTAATTGTTACTGGTTCAGAAGTAAATTTTATTGATGCTACAAGTAAAAAATTAGATCCGACTTAGTAAACTCAAAAGTTTTACATAACTATATTTTACTATGTAGATGTATTTCTTTAGGTATGGATTGATATTTTTATGAATAAATAATATTGCATTGTAGATGGAATGAAACTTTGCATTTAATTTGCCCCATAAGTAGGCTTTTTGTAGAATGAATTACTATCTCCTAAATTGTCCAATCTAAATTTTTATTGGCTACATTAACTTAAAGCATATTCTCTCTCTTTTCTCGTCACACTTTTTTCCTTCTTCCCAGGGTCTTCCTCTCCCTCTTTCATCACCTACATTGTCCCCCTTCCTTTTCTACTATTCTTATCATATGTACTAGCTGTTGTTATTTATACAAATACTCATATATCCTTGCATAGCACGTTTTTAAACAAAAGATAATGTAGTGATCCTAACAGTTTACAATTTTATATTTAAAAATTATTCAGGAAATCTAGAAATCCCTGACTTTTTACACCATGCTGATCACTTGGCTCCTGTCTTAGTCCATTCTGGCTGCTATCTCAGAATACCAGAGACTGGGTAGCTTATAAACAACAGAAATTTATTTCTCCTAAATCTGGAAGCTGGGAAATACAGTATCAAGGTGCCAGCAGATTTGGTGTCTGGTGAGGGGCCCACTCACTGGTTCATGGATGGTGCATTCTAGCTGTGTCTTCACTTAGTGGAAGGGTCGAGCTAGCTCTCTGGGACCCTTGTGACCTAATCATCCCCCAAAGGTTCCACTTCCTAATACTATACCTTGGGAATTAAGGTTTCAACATGTGAGTTTTGTGGGGACACAAACATTCAGATCATAGCAACTCCTGTACTTTACTAAAAAGCATGTTAGATAAATAAGTAATCGTCTTTCAATTTTTAAGAATTATTCACTTGAGCCGAGCATGGTGGTTCATGTCTGTAATTCCAGCACTTTGGGAGGCCGAGGCGGATGAATCACGAGGTCAAGAGTTCAAAACCAGCCTGGCCAAGGTGGTGAAACCTCGTCTCTACAAAAAAATACAAAAATTAGCCAGGCATAGTGGCAGGCAGGCACCTGTAATCCCAGCTATTCAGGAGGCTGAGGCAGAGAATTGCGTGAACCTGGGAGGCAGAGGTTGCAGTGAGCTGAGATGTGCCACTGCACTCTAGCTTGGGTGGCAGAGCAAGCCAATGTCTCAAAAAAAAAAAAAAAAAAAAATTCACTTGAACTAACAACGTAAGAATTATTTTTAAAAGAAACTTTTTAATGTAAGTTTTTTAAAAAAACCATTATTTGGGCCGGGTGCGGTGGCTTAGGCGGGCGGATCACGAGGTCAGGAGATCGAGACCATCCTGGCTAACACAGTGAAACCCCGTCTCTACTAAAAATACAAAAAAATTAGCCGGGCGTGGTGGCGGGCGCCTGTAGTCCCAGCTACTCGGGAGGCTGAGGCAGGAGAATGGCGTGAACCTGGGAGGTGGAGCTTGCAGTGAGCCGAGATAGCGCCACTGCACTCCAGCCTGGGCGACAGAGCGAGACTCCGTCTCAAAAAAAAAAAAAAAAAAACCATTATTTGAATAAGAAATTATACTATAAGACTGTTATTGTTACTTAGAATTATATTAAACAATGAAAACATTTTTAAAAAGTATACCTGCCTCAGGATTATTTTCATTACAGAGTACTCCTTACTGATTTTGTATACAAATATCATTTACTCATTTCTGCCTCCAAATGTGTTATTTGCAAGGGGAAAATTTCTTGATTTTTTTGTATATAAATGTAATTTTATGGGAAATAGTTGTTAGGAAAACTGACAATGATTTACAATATGATCATTAAATTTTATAAACTTATTGTTTAGTATTTTAGCTTTATTAAATAGCTTTATTTCTAAAGTTGCCTCTTAGTAAAATCAATGAAGAAAGATTTTTAAATGTCCGTGATTTTGAGTCTAAAATGTAAACTTCCCTTTTTTTCCATTTCTAGAATTGTCTATAGTTATTTAAAGGAAACCAATGTTTTTGCATTATATTTTAATACTTACTTTTTTGGCAACTCTCCGAACTCTTGCACATCCAAATTCTATGTGGCAAACAATCATAGATAGTTTTATCCAAGACATATATGGTGTCCTATAAAAGAAAAAAATCCACTTAGTGAATAAGGTAAAAGTAAAGATTAGTAGACAAAATGAGTATCTTTAAAGTAAAATACATCATTAACAAAGTGACTAATTCTTTAATTTGTAAAGTGTTTAGTAAGTTAAAGTAGGGAAAATGAATTATAGTGTCACTTTTTGACTTTTCACTTGTGCTAATTGATTTCATTTCTTTAAAGAGTATTGGTCGTCATTTAGCTTAGTTCATTAATATCTTTGCTGATGGGATATAGTAATAGTTTACTTAGAACTAAACATCTGTGGTTTCTAGTATCTAATAGTAAATTCCTAATATAATGCTAAATGTCATTTTCACTTAAAAATAGTTAAATCACTAATAATTTTTTGTTGTATGCTCTATTAATTGTTAATAAGAAAAGTTATTTGAATTGTTTTTAAAAATGTGATTGCCATAGTTTTTCATTGATGGCTCTCATTAATCCCATTATTAAAATATAAATATTTAATTTGAAATATATGAATTATATCTTGTATTTAGAAGCAAAGAGCAGAGTCTGTTAATATTATCTCCCCATGCATGTACTGTTAATTTGGATAATAAAGATAATATGTTAGCAGTGAAATAAAGTTAGATTTCCATAAAATATCAGGTTTTACTATATATTAGCATTTTCTGTAACTTCTGTCTTTTATGTTTAGGAGATAGATTTTAGTTTCTTTAGTAATTCGCAGTAATTAGCCCAATAAGCCATACATTTATTCAATAGATATTTTAATTAGCACTTACTAGGTGCCAGG